CTACAATACCATCGCACACCCAATCTCAGATTACCCCACAGACTGTTCGAAACACCGCAACCTTTACGCATTCCCACCATGCCGAAGCCGTCTCTGTGATCCCCACGAACGTCGACACGAGCAATGCAGACTTCAAAGAGAACAAGCGCCAGATGGACGAGGCAACCGAGAACCTTGTCAACCTGCACACGAAGATCGCACAAGGTGGACCTCAGAAAGCTCGAGACAAGCACATACAGCGAGGCAAGATGCTGGTCAGAGACAGGATATCTGCACTCATTGACCCGGGTACGCCATTCCTCGAACTAAGCCAGATGGCAGGTTACAACATGTACGGAGAGGACGATGTGCCTGCAGGTGGCATCGTCACTGGCATCGGCACAGTCAACGGTGTGCAATGCATGGTTGTCGCCAATGACGCTACAGTCAAGGGAGGCACATACTACCCCGTCACAGTGAAGAAGCATCTGCGAGCTCAGACGATTGCCCAAGAGAACCGGTTGCCCTGTATTTACCTCGTCGACTCTGGAGGTGCGAATTTGCCCAACCAAGCAGATGTATTCCCGGATGTCAACCACTTTGGCCGCATCTTCTACAACCAAGCGCGCATGTCGGGCATGGGTATCCCACAGATTAGTGTTGTCATGGGACCATGTACCGCGGGTGGTGCTTATGTACCTAGCATGAGCGACGAGAACATTATCGTGGAGAATCAGGGTCATATTTTCCTTGCCGGGCCACCGCTCGTCAAGGCAGCGACTGGCGAGGTGGTGTCCGCAGAAGACCTGGGTGGAGGCAAGCTTCACAGTGAGGTCTCTGGTGTTACAGACTACCTCGCAGTTGACGACGCACACGCACTTGTCCTTGCGCGGAGGAGCGTCGGCAACTTGAACTGGCACCGGAACCAGACTGTTACTTCGCAGCCTACTTTCCAGGAGCCTCTCTACGACCCCCAGGAGCTTTCAGGCATCGTCGGTACCAATCTACGCCGCCAGATCCCCATCCACGAGATCATTGCACGCATCGTCGACGGATCTTCTTTCGACGAGTTCAAGCCATTGTACGGTTCTACTCTGGTGACTGGTTTCGCGAAGATATACGGCCACCCCGTGGGTATCGTAGCCAACAACGGCATTCTCTTCAGCGAAAGCTCGCTCAAGGGCGCGCACTTCGTTCAGCTGTGCGGAAAGCGACACATCCCCCTCATCTTCCTCCAAAACATCTCAGGATTCATGGTCGGCCAGGACGCCGAGAAGGGCGGCATCGCGAAGAACGGCGCAAAGCTCGTAACAGCCGTGAGCTGCGTCGACGTACCCAAGTTCACAGTCGTCGTCGGATCTAGTGCTGGCGCTGGAAACTACGGCATGTGGTAAGGCTCCTTCTAGTCCCACTCCCCGACATAACATTGCTAACACAAGTACAGCGGCCGCGCGTACTCCCCCCGACTTATGTTCACCTGGCCCAACGCAAAGACGTCGGTCATGGGCGCAGAACAGCTCTCGTCCGTCATGGAAGCCGTGGGCAAGAAAGTGGATCCCGCGCTAAAGGCACGGATCGAGCACGAGAGTGAGGCCACCTTCGGGTCGGCAAGGCTATGGGACGATGGAATCATACCGCCGGAACATACACGGAGGGTCCTTGGCATGGGCCTGCAGATGGCGTGCGGTGGGCAGAACAAGGGCGTGGAGAAGGAGAGCACTTGGGGTGTGTTTAGGATGTAAACGCAAAAAAGGCTTCGTAAGAGCACGCGTGCGATACGCGCGTCTCCCTGTTTGCTGCTTAAAAGCATGATATTCGCGCCCTTGACCAAGAATCTTTGGTGTTCCATATTTTTCTTGCCCTCCTTGCTTGCCTTGCTTGCCTTAGGGCCTGGCCTAACTACCTGTGTACTAAGAATAGGGTCCATGACCGCAATTTCCGGCATCCCCACACAATTGCACGGGAAGTGGCTTGGCAGAGGTCTTGGCAGTGAGCCGTCAAGACAGCTGGGCAGGCGGGTTCGGCCTCAAGCACGCCTGTAAGCTTGCTTGGAAACGCTTGTGTGAGACAGACGTTGACGTCGTAGCTTTGGAGATCAGGTTCACTCAGCCACAGATGCGGTGCTGTTGATCGGGAGTTTTCACCCACGTGAGAAACGAAACGAAGCGGAACGAGGAAAACAAACGGTCAAGTCAGGCCAAACAGCGCAAAGTCAGGCGCCTGCGCCACAAACATGCCCTGCAGGTGGGGCGCAGGCATGCGGAATCCGTTCCAGAGGTCCTCGAGTTTCAACGTGGATACCGGGCCTGCGGCTGCGTTGCGCAAGATACACGCAGACTGTGGGAATGCATTCACTGTTTGGATACTGTTTGTATTCAGTTAGTGGTGGTGGTGTGGCGCCGTTCGCACCGGCGCTTGCGCTGTGAATTACAACTTGACCTGCCTTTCCTCGGCTTAGAGGGAACGCCAGCTGCATGATGATTAGATGCAGGCGGCGAATACGACCATGGGATTGCCAGGGTAGCCTATGGGGGCACAGGCCCGTGTTAATCCATCAAAGTTACCTTGCCAGTGCCGCCATTCCGCTGCCCGCTATTGCCTCGACGATCGCTCCCGCCTCTCTTTGTCACGTCCGTCATCAAACGCTGGACGCCTGTTTACCACTACCACTCACACTCGCTTTTCTGTCGCCGTTCCTCCACTGTCACCACCTTCTCCGGTACCTGCCTCCTACTCCCCGGTCAACCTCACCACGCTGCTTGTTTGCTTGATCTTGCTTGATCTCGCTTTCTCGCTTCCTCCCCACTTGGTCTCACGCACTTGCGGGGTAGCCATTCGTTAGCATTGTTTTAGGCGCAAAGCACATGTCGAGATGAGGTTGTTCAGCCCTGCGCGAGCGCTAGCGGCGCTCTCTCTGCTGTCGACAGATGTTGTGCGACCCTTCACCCAGGCCATCGTGCTTGACCCCAATTCTGAGAGTAGGATGCCCGTCGCCGTCGCATGACTGCCATGCGCTTGTAGCATATACTGACCTCACCTTACAGCTTCTATCAACGATGTCTCCTCCCAGGTCGCCAAGCAGCTCGTCGCGCAATATGCGACTATCGACGATAAGGGCATCCATGTACTCGGTGGTTACCCGGGTATCCTCTACGAACCCTACTACTGGTGGCAGGCGGGCGCCATGTTCGGTACCCTCCTCGACTACTGGCACTACACCGGCGACGATCAGTACAATGAGATGGTCCGCGAGGGACTGATACATCAATTCGGAGAGCATCAAGACCTGGTATGTATCTCTATGCGCTATCGCAAGGGCTGTCGCTAAGCTTTGTAGATGCCCTCCAACCAGTCCAAGAACGAAGGAAACGATGATCAAGTTTTCTGGGCCTTCTCCATGATCGCCGCAGCCGAATACAAACTCAAAGATCCTCCCTCAGACCAGCCCGGTTGGCTCGCCATGACGCAGTCCGTCTTCAACCAATTCGTCGGCCGCTACCAGAAGGAGGTGTCCGACGGCACTTGCGGCGGTGGCATGCGCTGGCAGATCTATCCGTGGCTTAATGGGTGGACGTATAAAAACACCGCATCCAACGGAGGACTTTTCCATCTCGGCGCGCGATTGGCCATGTACACGAAGAACGACACATATGCAAAGTGGGCGGAGAAGGCATTCGACTGGATGGCGAATAGTCCCATTCTGCCTGGCGATGGCCAAGTCTACGACGGAACCAGTATCAGCACGAACCCTCCATGCAGCGACGCCGATCAAACGCCCTGGACCTACAACTACGGAATCATGATTGCTGGAGCAGCATACGTAAGATAGGCAGTACTAAACTTACGATCACATGGCTAACCATGTCGCAGATGTACAACTACACCAACGGCGCCGACAAGTGGCGCAACGAACTCACCAAATTCATCAACAAAGTCGCCATCTTCTTCCCCGAAGACAAAGGCGGCGTCATGGTCGAGATCTGCGAAGCAAACATAGTTTGCGACGCGGACCAGGAATCCTTCAAAGCGTACCTCGCCCGCTGGCTCGGCATCACCATGCAAATGGCCCCCGAATTCACGCCCCAGATCATGCCCAAGCTGCAAAAGTCCGCCGTTGCTGCTGCGCAAACGTGCGAGGGTCCGTCTGACCACGGCGGCGGAAACCACCAGTGCGGTATGAGTTGGTGGAAGCAGGGCTGGGACAACATCAAAGGTGTGGGTCCGCAGATGACGGCTCTCAACGTCATCAGTGTGTTGAATGCGCAGAGGGTGCCGCCGCCGTACTCACGCGATACCGGCGGTACTTCTGAAGGCAACCCCGGGTTGGGCTCTGGAAACGATGCGGACCGATTGCCCAAGTTCCAATCCGAAATTACCACTGGGGACAAAGCGGGCGCGGCGATCCTCACGATCCTCATCTTCGCTTTGTTCGTCGGTGGGTCGGTCTGGATATTGATGTAATGAGTGGGTGGTGGTGAAGAAAGCATGAAAGATAATGGAGGTGGTGCTTTTTGGTTAATACCCCCCATTGTTTAGATGCATGCTGGGATGCAGTATGATGGGATGACAATTGAGCTTCTTCGTATGAGGAAGGCTTTTTCAAGGCGTTTTTATAATCCAGGGCGAATGGATCGGATCGGATGGGCTGGGATGGATTGGGTGATTCGTGTGTATATTTGCTATCTGGATGAAATGAAATATGAATGAGTACATTCATCGTTTACGAAGATTGCTTTGTGAGAGGCGGTTTGGATCTTGGAGATGTCGAGTATGTGAGATGAGGCTGCTGAGAACATCGCATGACTTCTAGTTGTTTGTTGCGCACATCATGTATATAGTCTTGGAACCATATAAATCAACTAGCGACAGAGCACACAGATCGACACCTATTCGATGCCTCTACACTTGCAGAGTCCTGATGGCGAAGAGACCGCCGGCCAGCGAAAGGACCATTTCGAAGGTAAGATAGCGATGCAACAGCTACAGCCCCCGTACAACTAACTCGACCCGTAAACACAGCCATGCGAAACCGCGTCCCACGCTACCTCTTCCGCGCCTTCGACGAATCCAGCGGCGGCGGCGGCGAATTCTCCACCATCAACGCAACCGAAATCATACCCCGAGGCTACATGAACGGCCGGCAAGTCACTGGGTTCTACGAAAAACCGGAGAAAGAACTGCATGCCATGGCGCACGCCCACTTCCTCGAAGACGAAAACGTTCTGACTGAGTTCAGCTCGTGGGCTGCTTCTCTTCACACAGTTCTTTGCTATGCGCATACTTGTTCTCTGGAGTATGGAGATGTTCACGTTGCTGTGATTGATCGCGAGAAGCTGGATGGCGAGGTGAGGATCTGGTGGGTGCCGCATCTTTTGGATCCGGGTGAGTATCATGGCGAGCATGAATATTTGGCGCATGGATGTATCCGGGGGTTGGGATATACGGCGGTGCCTTTTAAGAACTTGATGGTTGGTGGGCTTTGCCCTACTGTCTTTCCTGAACTCACGGGTTGGGGGAAGGGGAGGTCTCCCGACTTCGGCGACGGATTGAGAGACAAGATGTTTGGGGAGGAGTTGGTCGGGTACTACGACTATCAGACTGAACGTATCAAGCAAATAGGCAAGTTGTTTGGAGACCTTGCTTTGCCAGTTATGCTCGCGTTGTTGACTCTGAGGCCGCGATACCTTGCTCGAGCTTCCGTACTGGTCAATAATGCGGAAACGGCGCATTCGGATTTCATGGACTGGCTGCTTACTTCGCTGGACATTCAACCCCTTGAATTCGTTCCCGAAGAGGAAGATTGGTGTCGGCCAGGGGGAGTTTACACATGCCATGAAGGCGACTGGAAGGCTTATCCGGATGTTGAACAGTGGATCAAATTGCTGAGTATGATTGGCGAGCGGCAGTCTCAACGAAGCGCAGAAGAGGAGAAGGGGGGCGGAAGTGATATCAAGGAGGAGAGCGGTGTTGACGACGGAAGCATGCAAGATCAGTTGACAGAGTCTGAGTTGCAGGATCTGGACGAGGAAGATTCGGATGAAGAGATGTTAAGCGAGAAAGAGATGGACGATGAATCGAATGAAGATGATTAAAGGAAGAAGCGCAGACAAATCGAAGATGAAAGCTGGCTTTAAATCGCGTGTGTCGAAGCGATCAAAGTCATCTCCTTTGGCTCTCTGGCTAGAAATATTGGTCAAAAACATACACCTCATGGTGGGATAAATGCTTCTCGGATTACATGAGTGTAATTGCGACTGTTGACTGTTAAGTGCGCGGATGTGTCCCGTTGGTACATATGTTGTGGAGGAGCAGTTGATGCTGGGAGGCACTGGGCGTCACTTCCAACAGGGAGACACGCTACTCCGGCTTCGGCTACCTCAGGGGAGCGCCGCTGCTTCCCCCAAACACCGCCACCTTCCAGGCTGCCATTGTCACTCACATTCACTCGCCACGACCCAAGTGCTGCAAGCAAACGTCAATGATCAAATTGCGCATCATGTGTTGATACAAAGAACGCCTTACCGGTGGCCTCCCGATCTGTGGCTGAGCGAGGATGTAACGCTTTGCGATCGGCGGGAGCACACAGCCCAGCTGCAGTGAGCACATTCGATGCCATCTCCTACGCATCCACTTTTTGGCTATCGGGAACTACGACAGCGCCAAGCAGGCATCCAATGTCATTTCGGTCAACGCGATAGCAGCTGCGAACCCGCTTACGACAACCCCAATGTGTCGTTCCAGCCTGGCCAGTCGGACCATTGTACTCAACGCTGAATGGCGCGTAGATTGCGAGATGGCGTCGCCGACGCGAGCTAGTCTTCGCCAAAACCAAGCTTGCGACGCGCGCGTCACTCTCAGCTGTCAGACCAGCAATACTGCAGGTGCTTGATGAGCCACAATCGCCGTGGGCAGCTTTAGATGAATCGCTTGCCCAAGAACACCTCATGCATGTGTATCCTTACACAGCTGTTCATCAGCCCACCAGCGCAAGAACCTCATCACCTCTTTCATCGCGAATCTTACGGAGACCAAGCCTGTAAGGTAGACAATACGTTCCTTGGGGAAAATGGCATCTGAAGTCCCCGAGTACTTCTTACCACGGAATTGGGATTATCCACCTGGAGGCCCTATCAAGCTCGGCAATGTGCTAGCCTCTCTGAAAGAGCCCCATCGTCCCCTCGCGACTCTGCAACCGGACGCCAATAGTATAATCAAGTCGCGGAAAAGTCTAGCTGCTATTGAGACAGAAGATGGAAGATCCGGCGGGGTCACGGTTATGACCACTTTTCTGAGCGCATTGCTTGGTGCAGGAGTTGACGTGGCGGTCAACGTCGAGCGGGGGTCAGTACTATCGTTCGTTGTATTAGTGAGCGTTCTTAACACCAAAAAGCACCGGCAGGACGTTCACGTTCGATGATCTGGAAACCAATTACATTGATACCACCGACGATCACAGCGCGAATGCCGAACTGTCACAATACGAAGCATATATCGAGCGCTGCGCTAATGCACCCGCCGTGCTACGATACCTCGAACGGAGTCGGTTTCGCAAAGAGTTTTACGTTATAACAGGGCTGAAGACTGTGAGCGGCGCAAAATGCCTTACTACGGCGACGAATAGTACGGACGGCCTCGCAGGCGCCCAGGTCGATGGCACAATCCTTACTGGAGGAACTATCCCCGTCGGCGGCGGACTTGAGGTACATGGTGGGAGGTCCAAGAAGTCCAAAGCCTCTTGGGAAGGAAGCACTGACTTTGTGTTGGCCTTCAAAGTTAGCAGGGTGACAGTAAGCAGGTCGGGCAAGATAAAGAAAGAAGAAGAGTATCTCAAAGGTGCGTTCCTCGAACTTTCGCCTACCAAGAGTCGACCGCATGACCTCACCATAAGTCATGAGTGTCAGCTGATCGATGAGAATACCTTCAGCCCTTTTACTGTAGCGGAGGGAGAAGATAGGGTAACCTTTGGAGTGAGGAAAGACGACTGAGGGTTCTCCGACCCATGTTCTTTGTGTCTAATTTCAGATCTCTCAATACATCCAATTCTGTCGCTACTGTAACGATACACATGCAAACCAAAATAAGGTCCAGGCTCATGTCCTATGCTACCCGGACTGGCTGATAGCCGTGATTATATCTCCGCGGGTGTCCTCCGGGTTCTCTCTACCAAAGAACTGAGCGGGGTTGGAGTGCAGCGCCAGGTAGTAGAACTCTAATCTTTTAGGTCCTGCCATGCACCTCAGAACGGAGCCCATGACAGCATGTCGCCTTAGCTGCTGTGCGTACTCTTGATCTAGATGTGTCCTCGCATAGCGCAGCACAAAGGCGATGATACTTGCAGCGATCGGGGTTGCAAATGATGTTCCGGACTTGACTTTGGTCAGAGTGTCACTATCATCCGTACCATCGTTGCCAGGTGATTCGGACAGGTGCCCTGGCCAGCTAGATACGATAGCCTCACCGACGGTCGCGAAATTGACTTCTTCAAGCGCGGTGGGATTGAATCCGGAAGGGTTTCCGTTTGCGTCAGTAGAATGAATGCAGAAAACGCCATCATAGCGGGCTGGCCATGCGCGACCCGCATTTCCTCCGCTGTTCGACGCTGCCGCAACGATATGAACTCCTTTACTTTTGGCGTAGTCAATAGCTTGCTCAAGGTCGTCGCCAACGCTCTTCCGTTGAAACCCGAACGATATCGAGATGATGTCAACCTCGTGGTTAACAGCAGAAACTATAGCCTGGGCGTTGTAAGCATAGTCGCGTTCTTCGACTGGATTATATCTCACCTTCGCGATCAGGTTACGGTCAGCTTCACCGTCAATTGTGACGTCCGCAACATAAAGGTCGGCTTCTGGCGCATATTCCAGGATGAGGCCTACGATATGTGTGCCGTGACCTTGGAGATCCTTTATGGTACTGTTCTCGGCCCGTTCAAACAAATCACGGGAGCTTTCGTAGATCCAAATTCTGCCAAGCTCGGTCATGATATCCTGGTGGCTTTGATCAAGACCAGTGTCGAGCACAGCTATCTTTAACGGATGGGTTTCTTCCACGGCAGTGCTTTCGAATCGTTGAGCAGTCTCGACAAACAATTCTTTCCATCTCTCGTATTGTCCACGTCTGTATTCATTTCAGCATTGTAAAGACGACTTTTTCTAGATAGCACGGCCTTACTTTAAGCTCAAGACACCTTCGGGCAAACTTTCATCATCGTAGAATGATACTGGGTTTTGGCGCGGCCATCTTCGCGGCGGTGACTGGATTCGGTAGTTAGTAATTTTTCGCAACATAAGAGAATGTGACAGAGCAGAGCTTACTCGCTCCTGAACCTCGGAAACAGCGTTGTGAGAGCGTCGGAGCTGGTGCAGAGGACCAAGATGGGCCTCTCTTGTTGATCGTAGGGGAATGACTTCTGGTCTATCGTCGGACGCGTCCCAATCAATCAGGTGAAGAGCCATACGCAGGGGACGAACGACCTTTTCTAGCAAAACCTCGCGTCTCGCTTGAGCACCAAGAACAAAGGCTTCCTCACTCAGTCTGGGAACGCCTTTGTATGTACACTTGTGCCTAGCCTCTACACAGCCTTTGCATAGCCGGGTAGTAGAACCATAGCATTTTATGTCATGGCGTCTACACCTGAACAAAATCTTAGCAGCAATTTGTAGCCATAGATTTCTAGGGCTTACCTGTCGCACTTAGGCTTGAAAAGGTTACTATCGAAACAAGCTACAGTCGCATCCTTGTAGAGAACTCTAAGATGCTCTGCGGCTTTGTCCTTGTACCCAAAATGAGGCCAATCAGGGTCAGATGCTTCTAGACCTGAAGTGCACGCATTGTTGATCCTTTGTTCCATGGAAGACGAAGGTTGCTGGGTCCCCTGGTCCTGGAATTCTCGGCCGACGTCTAAGAGCAGAGTCCCTAGGGACAATATCCTTGGATATTTGTGCCCAACATGATTTGACTCAAAACATTCCGGTACCCTGTCTTCATCCTCATGAAAGCGAACCGTGAAACTGGGTGCACACGTGATGTGTGATTGTGTTGGTGCAGATCTATCCGTCTCCAACATAAATTGTATCGAACTTGCTGACCAACTTGTACTCGTCCAGTCAGAATCGTAGTACTGCCATATCGAGCGAGCGAGCGTAAAGGCGAGGACTACCCTTCTCTTCCGAGACATCTCATAAAAATTAAGGACTTGGGCCAAAGGAATACTTTTTCTGCGTGCCAGTCTCTGGCCTGTCGTCTCTGAGTCAGCAAGATCGAGCAGACATCGATCTTCGACTTGCAAGCATATTTTGACCGGGCCTACGTCTTTCTTTAGCAGGCCACAAAATTCTTGCTTAGACATAGAATCAGGACTAGCGAGCATAGTTCTCGCGCTAGAGCTATCATCAGAGTGACAAGACGTAGTCTCAAGCTCACTAAAACGGACTTCCTTCGTCGCCATTCTCTTCCTACAAGCATAGCACCTCGTTAGCATATCGAACTTTTACAGCATGCGATATATTCTTACATAGATACCCGTAACCTTAACTGTTGCCAGTGGCCTACCGTCCCGTCTAGTTGTGGATCTGGGGAGCAGAGAGAGTGTACGTCGAAAGTTGCGAAACCATCCGAAACATGCGAACGACCTGTTAAACACAACCGAACTTCATGATGCCGCGCTTTGGTCTCTTCCGAAGGCGAGGAGTCGCAGCTGGAATACTCAGAGACCGTTGTGTAAAGGTTCCTGGTGACAAATTGAGGTAATTCATCTAACGTGTCCTCGTCCCCGTTTTGGGGCAGATTGTGGTATAGGAGGGTGGTCTTCAGTGCTAGAGTAAGTCCCACTGGTTCATTTGTACGGAAATGAAGTAGCGCATCCTGATCTGAAAGAGGGGATTTTGCGTAAGCCAAAAAACCTCCCTCAGCGTGCGTAGAGGCTTCTTGACAAAGCCACGTTTTTGTATCAAGTTTGAATTCCGAATACGACTTGACCCATTTGGCAAAGCTCCAACGGTTATCTCGGTGCTGCCACTAATGCAGTGAGCATTTGATGTCGTCTATAAACGTCGGAAAAAGATTCACCTTGCACAACGTGGTAAGCTCGGTGAGGAAGTTACTGTTGAGGGAGTGGGCAGTCTCGCTGGCAAGCGCCAAGACCCCAGATATGTGTGCGACCACTCTAGTCTCTTGTTTCTGTGTTCCAGATTTGAGAAGTGCATGTAGAAGAGCACGGGCGATGACGTGCAACCCAATAAGGGCCGCTTTCAGATCAGCAGTATGTTGACTCTCGCTCATCGCTCTGGTGTAGCATAAGACATAGTAGAATAAGAACGAGCAGATGGGCCATGTGTTGAGGTAACACTACTGACACTAGACCTAGCGTGGCGCAGAAAGAGGGGTAATGAACGTGGCTGAAACCTCAATGATATCCCAACGAATGACAACCGCCTCAAATGTTACGTAACCAGCCACGGCGCTTAGTGTCCCCTCGTCCATCCACCAGACGGACCACAGCATCTGTACATGTTACTCCCGAGGTCATTAACACTCATTGCTCTAGAATCTATGGACTAGGTTATACTAACGAGAGAAGCGATAATGAACAACCTTACCAAAGACGACACCTCTGCCTTCGGTAGCGAAGGTTCGGCGCATGGTCTGAGTACGATGGAGCCAAGTGCAGGCTATGAGAAAGTCGCTAGTGGTGCAAGTCAATCCGACGCATCTTCCGAGAATACAACCAACTGGCCAAGTATTTCAGACGCAACCAAGGCCTGCCGGAGTAGCTTTACGAGGTGTTTGCTGATTCGGAGCCTAAGAGATGATTGGGCAGAAGACAGATTGGCCGATTTCAAGCTCTGGGATGCCAGCGTAGGCGCTTCCAATAGCCAGAACGCATCCCTTGATAAGAGGTTGGAAGCCAAGCCACATGTTCGGAATGGAATTGTGGACCTCTTGGTCGTGCTACAAAATACGATCGACAGTTGCAGGGATCTCGGTATTCAGGCACTCAAAAGTCAACAACGAAACCATTATACTAACTCTAGGCAGGCCTAGAGATTGATCGAGGCCTGGAATACAAGGACTCATCTGGTGGGGAATTATACAATCTCTTGCACAGTAAGTCTATAATCGTCTTGGCAGAGCATAGATGCCTGCTCTTCGATGACAAATTCTAACGTATTAATCAGCCACCACAGTAATCAAAAAAACTCCAGATGAGGTTACTAGAGAGCTTTCACAAGAGATTCGAGCCGCCGATACTCTCTTGAACGATCTAGCGCAGCTGAGTATCGTCATACGAAAAGCCGCTGTCAACTCTCATTATTCGAAAGCCGACAGCATCTTTCCATTTAACAGTCATAATGATCCGGATCTACAGATGCTTCGAAGACATCTTACACACATTGTACTATTTCGTCCCCAGAATCTTGAAAACAAGCGCCGCACACTCTGGGGATCACTTGGCTCTGAGATCTTCGAAGAGTCGAGACCAGAAGCTACAAGCATTTCGAATTCGTTTGATATACATGCCTGGAATGTATCGTCGATGTCTCGGGAACTAACCGCGGTACAAGAACGTCTGATAGTTGCAAACCTGAGAAGACACAATCGCTTTAAATACTCCCAGAGACACGAGATGAAGCGCACACAACCCCGTGTAGACCCCGATGTCGACTCTTCTGGTGCTGAAGCGGGGGAGCCTAACCAAAACCTTCTTAGCATCATCGCAGCTGCTCCTCATGGCACGAGTGGTTCTTCAACTGTGGATTCAAATATCCAAACACAAGAAAAGGTCGCGCAACCTCATCAGGTTGCTACTAACGTTTTATCAAATACGACTGCCTCTATCCTAGATCCTAACTTACTGGAGTCGCCATCGGTATCAATCGCTAGATCTCAACAATCGGGTACCCAGTTTTCTGAGGTTGCCTCAGCTATCAAAGCGCAATATCCTCGTCCTCCGCGTCTGAACAAAAGACTACTTGAGGTTCGATGTCCATGTTGCTGTGTACCACTACGGAAGAAAGATCTCAAATGGCATCGCTGGAGGTTCGTACATTACGGCCGCAGTATCAGTTACTTGAATTGTTCTCTAACTAAGACAACAGGACGCACATCGAAGAAGACATTCAGCCATATACTTGCGTTTTAGACGCCTGCACCGATCCTGAAGCTCTATATACAGACAGAAAAAGTTGGATCAACCATATGATTCATGCTCATAGCCATCCAGAGTTCTACTGGGAGTGCTCGCTATGCAACGACTCGCCTCAATTCAATTCGATCAACTCGCTCAAAGGCCATCTTACCGACCTACACGAAGGATCAATCAGAAGCACATCAGCCTTTCTTCAGACGTGCTCAAACCCAAAGCTTTTGGGAGGTATGAGTTGTCCTCTATGCTCTTTCACTGGGACTCTGGACGACATATCTGGATCGCAGCTTCTGAATCACGTCGCTGAACACATACGTTCATTCTCTCTGAGCTCACTTCCGTTGCCCCACAGTGAAGGGGATAGAATTATTAACGCGTACTTTGAGACCAACGCTTATTTCGCTGATAGCGATCGGGACTCTGTAACGGTTTCAGGAAGTTCCATCTCAGAGAATGAAGGTGCTACTTGGTCAACCTCAGATGGTTCCCTCAAGAGCGACATCAGCAAAAACGAGTTGGAAGACTCCAAGAGCAAGAGAACGGACATCGCTCCTGTGGTTGAAGGTGAAAATTTGATGCAGCCGCGTTCTCAGCCACTCACGACACTTGCTCCTAGATGGGCGGAAGCCTTGGTCCCGCTGGGCAGGATGTACAGTTACAAACGTATTCCTGGCAACCAAGTCCGTCTTCTAGTCGTTAAGCCGGGAGCCTTCGATGAGAAAATCAACGCTTCGTTTCTGGCCGTTAGCGATGATGACCTCGGAAGCCAAAATTACAGGTACTCGGCCCTTTCCTACAACTGGGACGATGGCGCAGACTACAGTAGCATCATCATCCAGGAAGACCTAGCCTCGCCTCATGTTCAGTCTATGGAAAAATCGACTGAAGTACTCAGACCGGCTGTAGACAAGGTGCTCAGGATCAAACCAAATCTCTATGAAGCTCTTAGACATTTGCGACAAGCAGACATGATTCTCGGACTTTGGGTGGATGCAGTATGTATCAATCAAGACGACGCCAAAGAAAAGGGAGAGCAAGTGCTCAAGATTGCTGAAATCTATCGCAAAGCCTATAATGTGAACGTATGGCTTGGGTCCGACAATCCTGGTGGTCACATCCCCAACAAAGCCATGACCTTCATTCCCAAGATCGTTAATCCGGCCACCCACTGGGATACCCCCGCCGATGACGCTTATGTAGAAGAATGGGCAAGCGTGTACGAACTTCTCAAGCGGAGCTGGTAAGTGTTTTCTAGTTCGAACTTGTTCTCTAGCTTACCTTTTATAGGTTCTCACGGCGCTGGGCTATACAGGACCTAGCATTCGCGCAATCTGGTTCAGTACACTGTGGCAAGCAGGTGCTGGACTGGAGAGACTTGCAGATTGCCATCGGCATCTTTGACCGAAACTTCGATATCCAGAAGGCTCGGCTCACGATGCATTATGAATCCACTCAGGTCAAGGGCAGTCACCCGAACGGGGATCCAACCCTGGAGATGGGGCACCTAGGCGCTAAGTTATTGGTGGACATGAAATCAACATTAATTCACAAAGGACCGGACGGCACCCTGGTTCCCACCCAAGGGCTGGAGAGCCTCGTCTGTTCTTCATCGGGGTTGGACACATCTGATCCACGCGATACCATCAATGCGCTCAGAAGTATATCGAAAGAAGCGTATTGGCCAGAGTCGCGTCAGGAAGCATCTCGGCCTCCTCCTGTTCCCGATTATAACAAGGATCTTTTTGAGATATACCGGGACTTCGTCAAATGGGTTGTAGACACGACGGGATCCATCGACATAATCTGTCGCCACTGGGCATTGAGGGAACGCCAGGAACCAACTCCAACAACTCCTCGGCTAGTTCAACTACCTTCCTGGATCCTATTCGTGGAAGACTCTGCCTGGGGAAAGGGCGAAGGTCTGTTTCGCGGTCGAAATGTTAGCGACAGCTTTGTCGGGTTACCCGGTAGTAACAACTACAACGCTTGCGGTAGGCAAAACAAGCAAGCCCGTGTCAAGTTCCCTCAAAGTCCTGTACATCGTACGTCGGCCGTACCTTCCCGGGTGATACACGATATGTCGATGTCCGTGAATGGTGTCATGATAGGGACAGTCTCGTTCCGCACTGACCCGTTTCCCGATAGTGTGATCACCAAAGATTGTTTGGAGGGTCTAGGATGGGTGTTTGACAATCACGCGGTAGAAAACCCTGAGATTCCAGACAAGCTGTGGCAAACGCTCGTGGCAGACCGCGATCCGCAGGGCAACCCACCCCCTCTTTGGTACAAGAAAGCATGTCAACATTGTCTTACCTACCAGACAAATAATGGACACCTCAACATTAACACGATTCTACGTGGGAAACTTCAAGGCGGCCCCACTAACATTGTGTACGACTACCTTTGTCGCGTCCGTGCTGTCACCCGGGACCGATCCTTCCTTAGAGGCGACCCCATTTCTAGTGCCACCACCAATACCCGCGACTTCGACCAGGAAGAACTCGTTGGCTTTGGACCACCTAGAACCGAGAAAGGGGATGCGATTGCTATCTTGTATGGCTGCAGCGTTCCCGTCATCCTCCGACCCACTCAAAATGGCTCTGGTGAGCATCTTGGGTACCTGTTCGTCGGCGAAGCTTACATCTACGGTAAAATGTACGGTGAGGCTTTTGAGGTTGATTGCGTGGAGAAGACCTTCAAGTTGCTTTAAGACGCGTCGCAATCTACAGAGATATGTCATTCTTGACCTTCCTTTCTCTTCTTTCGGCAAATCTTCGAACCTTCGAGCCCGGCGTTGGCTGTTGGCGTCATCCACACTTCTTGTTTTCTCTCTCATTTTCACCTCGTACATGCGCTTGGCCAGCAACGCCTCCTCTTATTTTCACGATATCCTCACGCTACGACGTCACGACATCATATACCCCGCCCGAGTTTGACCGCTCGGCCCTCTTCTTTCTCCCGATACCCTGGCCTTTGCTATGACATCATTTACACTACCGGTACGATTCGCTACGTTTCCATGGGGGACAGAATAGAGTATCTTTCGGATTTCCTTTCTTGTATAGACCATAATCTACTACCATTGTACCATTGTCCGCTCTCGATGCCAAACAAATCCCGGGTCTCGTTACTCATATTCAGACGAATAGTTTTTGTGAAGCTTCCTAGCTACCGACTGTCCCAGTCTTGAGACCATGTCTAGATCGAGCGCATTGTATACCGGCCCATATACCCTTGTTCTTCCCCGCAACTCTTACTCAGTAGTAGTCGATCATCTCGGTTGGCCGGCCCAGGATAAAGCACTTCATGCTCTTGATATCCCGCTTCGTCCAACCTGAAAGTGTCGATTTACCGCCTTCGCCCCAGCGTACGGCCATGTCTGTATCGCCGAAGAGAGCCTCGCAGCGCGGAGTTCTACAATTAGCCTTTGTGAGCGTGTGGTCAGACCATAGAGAAGGTAGCAAGGAATGAGCATACCGATACAGTTGACAGCAGCCCATATGGGTCACGGCGCGAAATGAGCTTATCTCTCTGGAGCTGAGGCGCATGTGTTAGCACAAGCTTCACATCTGAAGACAACATAATCTATACGTACTAGTCGCTGCTGATGTCGCGACACTCATCCACCATAACGTCGAAGTAACGGCAGGCTCCTTTGAAATTGGCCACGTTGCAGACTTGGATCTGAAGGAAAAGCTGTCAGTACCTGACCCTTGTAGTTCGGACGGAAGCGACGTACGGTCATATGCTTCCACAAATTGTCGGACGCTTCGGCTGGCAAGGCGGCGATATCTTGGATGCAAAGGATCAGTAGCATGAGCATGCTGAGCATCATGGTAGTAGCGGGAATGCGCATGGTGGGTGGCGTCTCGGATCCTGTGCTTGACGAAATCTCAAAATGAGTGATATGGACAAGTATCGACAGATTTGGTAGGGGCGGAAGGTGGGACTGCGGCGCTTGAACAGATGAGTATGGGATGTGCTTTCCATTTTACATGACCTTCGCTTCGCGCACAGCGACTTCCCTAGACGACCCTCCGCACTTTCCCCGGAAGCAACGCGTAGTCCTGGAAGGCGCCATGGGTCAAAGCGTCGTGCGCGTGATGAACTCCGGGAGAATGGAATCCACGGCGAGCCATTCCAAATGCTGTATGACGCCAGGCTCAAGAGAAAATACCCTCCCAACTGCTCTCATGGGAAACATCAACGAGCTTGGTGGTGCGAGACATTTGATGGCTGTTTGACAGCAAGCGGAAGCAGCCCAACCGATGCTGTTAGGGCTATTACTGGCACATTATTCACCCAGAGCCAATGTCTGGCAATTTGAAGATTTGCGATGATGGTAAGGCTCGAGCGCAAGAGCTGGAGGAAGCTAGTATTGCAGCTGGATATTACACAGCATTTGACCCACACAATGTGATTTACCACACACGTGCAAACTTCTACATATACCTCGTGTTGTTATAGGAGCACCAGAAAGCTAACAGCTGAAGCCATGCTAATAGCCCACCAGATACCCCCAGCAACCAGATCTTGGAGGCTACGCGAACCACTGGGTACCGGCGAGCCTGGCGACGACTCTACCGAGCATAAATCCCCGTCAGGATTAGTGGTAGCGCTGGCACTCGTGTTGAAGAGCAGCTCAACCCATTGGATATCGAACCAGGCCTCTTGCCCGGTATCCATACGTCCCGAAAAGGTGCCGCCATTACTCCATAGACTCAAGATGATCATGCTCTCTGCATCCGGTACGTTGACTTCCGTGTTAGCCGATTGCGCACCGTTCATGTACCACGCGCTCTTCCCGGGTACCCAGTCCAGTCTGTAATTGTTCCAGCCCGAGGTAGGTTGGTAGTCCTCCATTGACACATTGAATGTTGCACCATCAATGGGTACATCCGTGTCGGGGTCGGCGGTGGGCTGATTGGAGTAGTGCACTTCGTCAGCCTTGGCCCCGGTCGGTATCTCTATGTCGGACTCGTTGGTGTCATCGTGGTACGTGAAGAAAGCCGCGACTGCACCGCTGGCTCCATTGATGCGTGCGGACATGCGGATAGAGGCGTAGGTGACATTGTATTCCGCAAAGTCTAGTTCAGCGGCCACCTGGCTTCCATCCGGGAGTCTTGTCGTGTGTAGTGTGAGATAGGTAGAATCCTGCGATGCATCGGTATTCTTACCTGGCGGTGGTTAGCAACCGGTTGAAGTGGAAAAAGCAGCACTCCAGCTTACTTATTGATACACGAGATGGTTTATAGTACATATCCACTGTATCGTCCCTTGGCGATGGCCTGTACCAATCTCTCGCATTCCAGCCCGAGACCCAGGGAGCAGCTGCAATAATCTTTGACTGGCCATCGGTGTCCGTGTGACCTTGTTCGTAAGACGAAGCGGAAGCCGCATCGACGTCGTCATATTCGTGAAGTTGCCTAAAGTCGTAGAAACGATGGAAGCTGTATGTTGCTGCTGTCGAACCATTGGTGGAGAACCGAGTACATTCTGCACCGACCTGGGCGAAGAGAGAAGATGCAGCCAAAATCAAGGAAAGAGCTGAGCTGTAGAACGCGACAAACATAGAGGGTAAGCGTTTGGGATCACAGCAGAGGAGATCTGCAGTCGTCACGACATAGTAGTCGGACCAGCTTACACTACATACGTGCAGAGGTTTCCCTTTCGTAGTCTTGCGGTGTGGATGTCACCTGGATCGGCGCGGGAACGAGACATTGACAGTAAAGGCGTTCAATCTTTCAAATTCGACTTCCGGCGTTCCCTCTTGAGAGCTTCGATATCAGCGTGCGGTATTGCAGGGCAGTATTGTTGTTCAGGGCCGGTGCACAATAAGACGACAAGGTACGAATGAGGCGTGCAGAGTTTTGTGGCTGGGTCGTGGCGTCCCGAGGTCCACTTGTCGAATACTCCTGCGGGTACTAACCACCTTGTCGCTAGGTACCGTCCTTGAAACATTATATTACGTTTCTGCTGTTGAACATCGCTGCTAGTCGCGAAGGCCAGACGCGTCGAAAGCTGCGCGACGCGTCTGAGATTGAGGAAGTCGGCTAGCATCCATTCGACCTAGCGCAAACACCGACCACGGGCATTCTTCCTGCAGTCGTTCACGTCATCATCATCACCGCTCGAACGCCAGAAGGCAACAACAGCTTTTTTGTACAATATATCGCGAGACGAGATGATTGGTTCGCTTCTCGGCGCTCTATTACAACCGTTCATCATCGGTCTCGCGCGTTGATGTGCCGACGAATAACCCCGCCGCTACTCCAACAAAGATGTGTCTCGGCAGTCATTCTGAGTCCGAAGGGCTGAAGCTTACTTGCAGTCACAATATCAAGCGGCGGCCTTACCTATCGCACGTCCCAGCTACTACAACTGCAGGATATGCGCATTTTGTCCGTTGTCAGATACACCACCCATCCTGGAATTTGCGCATCACGGGGCTCAAGGCAGCATTGTAGGCATCAACAGCCAGTATTTCTGTAAACGGATCGGATGTTTCTTACGCGTCCGACCGGTTCGCCGGGCCTAGTCCCCACTTCCCGGTAGATACAAAGCTGTCTAGAAATGGTATTATTCCCCGCGTCGTCTAAGTACGTTGGTACCTTATATATATCGTGCATGTCTTTGCGATCTCACGATAGCGCGACAGATAACCCCAACAAACGGAAACATGGCTTCAGAACACCAGGCATCACAGACCTTCACCTTTCACCATGCCGAACTAGGTCCCATGACCGGCATCGTTACGCCCGACAACGTTGTTCAGTTTCGCGCCATACCATACGCTACCATCCCCGCTCGCTTCAAGCAGTCTGTTCTCTCAGATACGCTCGCGGGCAAGAAAGACTTCACGGGACATGGGTATAGTTTGCCTAAATGCTTCCCTGCGAAGAAAAGCTAATGCCCTCAGCTATGCATGCCCTCAAGTCTTTAATATTGACGCGGTTGGCGGCGGTAACTTCCCGGACGAAAAGTTTCCACACGCAACGGACGAGTTGAAATGTGCTATTCTTCAGGTGAACGTACCGCTTTCGTGCCTTGAGCAGCAGCCACCCTCTTCAAGACTACCTGTATCGGTCTACATCCATGGAGGAGGCTTCGTGCTCGGAAAGATTGACGAGCAGCACAACACGTCTCTCATGGTCGAGCAGTCGATCCTCGATGGCCAACCCATCATCTCTGCGAGCATACAATATCGTTTGGGGGCGCTTGGCTATCTACATACTCCGGAGGCTGGAAATGCAAATCTCGCACTGAACGATCAACGGAATGCGCTTCTCTGGATCCAAAAGTTCATCGAGGGCTTTGGAGGGGACAAGAAGAAGGTTACTGCATTTGGAGAGTCCGCTGGCTCCATGTCAATTTGCGCCCACATGCTACGCCAACCTCCGTCTTCGGGTCCGCTGTTCCAGAGAGCGATTCTCATGTCTGGCATTATCGGCCCAACGACAGCACCGCTATCACCCGAAAGCGCAAGCGAGACATACAACAGCTTCTTGCGAAGAGTCGGGATTGAAGAAGAAGGCGAGGCAGGTCTAGAGAAATTACGTCAGGTGGACGTACAAAAGATCGTCGAAGCATCCGCCGCGCATCGAGCGGCTGGTAATATGTGGCTTTCGGTTCAGGATTCAGAGTGGTTTGGTGATGAAGCGGGTTCTGTGACCTGGGACCGCGTTCCTGAGTTGCTTGGCAAATGTGAGTGGGTCAACGATATCATTCTGGGAACTACAGGATTTGAGGTGAGTCAATGCTTCTCATTTATACGTCCAAATCGAGAAGCTTACTCAGACATACAGGGTGTCACGTTGATGTCAGAAATTGCTGCTGTCAGCCCGGACGCTTTCCTCAAAGGCATCGCAAAGCAGCTAGGCGAGGAAAGCGCGAACCTCGTCGAGCAAGCTTACGGCATCTCGCCAGGAATGGACACGAACGTGTTCCTAACTGCAGGCGCACGTTGGGTAGGCGACGTCATTTTTGATGGTGAGACATTCCGCATGATGCAGTGTGCATAGCTAATAGTTGTAGCGCCCACTCACCACTTAGCACAATATCTCACCCAGCACACAAACAAGAAGGTTTATCGCTACGTCTTCGATATCCGGAATCCTTTCGCTACTAGTCCCTTCTGGCAGCAAGCGCATCATTGGGTCGACGTCTACTACGTGTTCGAAACGTACCAATTCCGCTACCCGTCACAAAGACTCAAGGACATCTCTACCCAGCACGCACGAACCTGGAACAGCTTCGCAAATGGAGAGACGCCGTGGGAAGAATATGCATATACCGGCGAAGGCGACGAAGTGGTGATGGTGGCAGACGAGAGGGATGGCTGGGTAGAAAGGAGTGTTGAAGAGCACGAGAAAGTGGTGGACAACAGCTGGCGGAGATGTGAAGCGTTGGTTGAGAGTTGGGAGAGCATGCGCGGGAAGCATTTCTCGCCTTTCCAAATCGAGCCAATGAAGGCGAACAAGATAGCCTAGATTAGATGATAAGGATATCATCCCACGTCAACCTAGGGAAAACGTGAACCCCCTAGGGTCTACATCGATGTTAGCACACCCACTTCGCATGTAGTCATGTTAATGTAGTCTGCAGACCTGTTCAGGTTTTCCCTTGTATGAGGTGACCCGGTGCTTCTCCATCATTTTGAGTCATATTGCGCTAGGCTGGATTACACTTAGTGGCTTCTTCTTGCGGCGGAAGACCCTCCGAGTCATCTCTTCTATCATCGTTCCAAGTGTACAAGTATCCGCAAGACTGGTTGTGCATCTTATCAAGCCTCGATTACCTCAAGATGACTTATCAACAGTCCTCGACACCGTTTTCGCGGTTCGCCCTCGTCACACCACGACTCATCATCGTACCTACCCCATTGGCTATCTCAATCCCATCTTATGTCACTCTTTTCGCGAACCTCCTCGCAGATACGTCATTCTGCGAGATGGGCTTCGGCGACAAGTTTCCCGTAGTGAAGCGCACGCAAGAAGAAATGCATAAGTCGATCGCTACACGAGACATTGCGCAGTGTTGGGAGAAGAGGGGATTGGGCACTTTCGCAGTTGGCTGGCGACCGAAAGAGTGGTCTGACCGTGCGATGGGCCGGTCTTTGAAAGATGCGAGCGAGAAAGTTCGGATCATCGATGGAGATGAGATGGATAACGTCTGCGAAACACTCGGCGCAATCGAATGGCTAGGCTATACAGGCGTACGAGACGCAACGACAACTTCTCTTCCCCCACGCGACGATTCGGACGATCCGCTACCACCATGGGAAGAGATGGTCGAAATGCTCTACGGTGTCGCGCCGGCGTATTGGGGTCAGGGTGTAGCTCGCGAGGCTGCGGAAGCAGTCATGCAGTGGGCCGCAGCGGAGAAGGGCGTGAGAAGGTTCATCGCTGAGACGGAAAAGCTCAATGCGAGAAGTGGAAGAGTGTTGGAGAAGATGGGGTTTAGGAAGAGTGGTACGAAGTATTGGAAGAATGAAGATGAGTTCGAGTGGGAGATGGATGCTACGAGCTTGATGTAGGCAGGTTTATGCTCTGGGCACATATTCTGGAGCGGTTACGAGCATCATGATAGCCCTCAAATGTTTCCAGAAAGATTCATTGTACCCTACTCTCTACGATGCCTTCTCATACTTTGTCGCCAAAGAGACTTGGCAAAAAGCCTAGGTCTTGCTCTGCCTGCACTGGTGCAAGCAAAGCTTTCGCTTTCTTCGCCTTGCACATATCTTCTACTTCTTTCTCGTCTGCCTCATCTAGCTTCACGAGTATTCCTAGTGCATACCAGTCAGTATCAGGACGGTGTAGGATCACCTGAATGCGCCGCTCTTGTCGAACCAGAATGCCCTTCATCAACCACTTCCCCACGCCGAAAAGGACGTCCCAGTCACTTGGATTACTCTGCCATTCAATACTTTCATACACACCTCTGATGCGAATTCGCTTCAGACTCTCACAATTGATCAAAGCCCGGAGTGCGAACCTTTCTAGTAGCGCGTCTACAGATCGTGGGCTGCCCAAGCTGGTTGGAGAGCTAATGCAGAAGAGCTCTTGGGTATTGATTGTCCACTCGATTTCTCGGAGAGAAGTACAGGCGAGTGCAAGCTCCACCATAGGGCTTTTTGGAATGGGTGACGACTGAGAGTCGTGGCACAGATGCTCAAGACGAAAGGCTAGGTGCTTCACTGCCCGCAGACCGTCACCACGAGGAATTGCTGCCAGAATGTCGTAAAACCACGCACCGCCGTCGCCGCCACCCTCCTCGAGGTTGAGAACAATCTGCTGTGTGCGCTCTAGCATGAAGACAATGATCTCGCCCTGCAACTGCCCGCATGTGAGACTCAAAGCCGCGTACCAACCTCCGACATCTCTGTAAGCTTGTCCGATTGGGGTCAGAGTCTTCTGGCTATGTTTGCAAACGGTCAGCGACTGATAGTTCCAGATACAGCAGGCCCAGATATTACAGCTGGAAGAGTCGGCCAGAAAGACAGCGCCGTTTCCGGAAAGATAGTGGTGGTAAACGATCTTTCGAATCTCAGCCGGCAATCGTAAAAAGTGGGGAAAGTATGGTGGTGGCTCGTAGGATAAGAATCCCGTCACTGCTGCAGCGATGTCCTTGAATGCTGTCCACTCGATCCGTTCAATGCCGTTCTCGTAGTGTAGCCATTCAACAACAGGACCAGAGAATTCCCGAAAAGCTGCAACTTCTGCATCCGGCCAGATATCGTAGTCGTTGGTGAAAGCCAAGTACTGCTCCGCTCTTTTTGCGAGATCCTGGAACGCCAATTGGTCGATGGGTACTAGGTCGTTTGTCGTTTGGTGCATATATGTCACCGCGGTCGGGACATCGCGTGAATCAAGAATGTCGATGGAGTCGTGGTGGCAATGAAAAAGACCGCAGCGACAGCACTGGTGCCATGTATACCCACAGAATCGTGAACACTCGATTACATCATACCAGCCCGTCATGTGGCGAAAGACAGCGTCGCCGAGCGAACCATACTCCATGTGTTCGTAAAGCTGTACCAGAGTTCCGGACATGTACTGTTGATGGTACGGCATGAATGGGTCAAAGCGACATTCGCGGTTGTCCTTGAGGTATGACATGCTTGCCTTCGCGATCTTGGTGAACTCCCTATCTGCGGATGTTCTGCGGAGAAATGGCTCGTAACGTAGATACCAAAGACCTGCAGAAGAAATATAGCGGAAAGCTTTCGTGAGGTCTTCGTAGAATGGGTCCACAGATAGGTTGGAGCTCTCACTATGTTGGGCGAGCGAATCACCCAGCGCATCGTTCGGTGTGGTGTGTAGAACGGATTCGGTCTCGTATTCCATGGTGTCTCCAACGCCCTCGAGAAGATCCTGAAAAGCCTCGAGAAGTGAGTGGTCATCGAATTGGTCCACGCAACCGTCATGATCTGTGGCTCTTGCGACAAGGAGCATGTACTCGGAAGAAATAGCGTCCTGTCACCATAGATTAGTAAAGTAGACGAAAAGAGTTTGAGACCAATACATACTTCAACCTCGTAATGTATACACTTCGGCATATCGGATTGTCAATCCCGAGTTGAGAGTAGCGACTCGTTGAGCGAGAACAATGCAGTAAGTGGATATGGTGATAGACATGACGTTGGGAGGAACTGAGCACTGACCATTCGGTTTAGGCAGCAGGGTACCTACCTAGGTATGTCAATCCGCAGCCGTTCGAGTGAATTTACCTAGACTCCAGTCTGCAAGCAGAAAGACATCACGTGACGTGTATAATCTTGCCCAGGTGGCGTGTAAGTAGGGCGTCAGGCAACCCGCGCGGGGGGACCACGGCCTCCATGCTATCATATCAGTCACCGACAACTCGAGACTACAAGAGAAGTAGACACTTCGCAACGCGGCAATGACTGCGGCCAACACCATCCCCGAAGTCGCCAGTCATGAAGCGACATCCGTCCACGAGCCAAAGTTCACCAAGTTCCTCCTCCTACCCGCCGAGCTTCGTCTCAAGATCTTCGCAGCCTACTTGCAACTAGAGACTTTGCACAATGACTCAACGCTGGCGAATCATGGCCACCTCAGATACCGCAAGCCTTGTTGCGACGTCTTCGAGGCCTACTTGGAGAACGCGCGGAACACCTCGACTCTAGCGAAGCATCTCCATGTCGACAATTACAATAACCCATGTTGCACCTGGCGCTGGCCAGACGACCTCATCATCTGTGATCGAAATGCCGGCGACGGGCTGACGACCGCGAAAGTCGCGCCCTGGCTCCCTGCTCTCGCGTTTGCGAACGAGCAGCTCCTGAGCGAAGTCACCCTCTTCATGCTCTCAACAACAGAGTGGTTCGACTTCAAGTACGATGCAAAGAAGCCGTTCAAAATCGCGCGTTGGTTCGTAGACTTCCTTGCCAGGTTCCCCGCGGTCACCATCGATGGAATAGCCACCACCCAGGGATTCGCAGCTATCAAGCGCATCAACTTTCCCCACGTAAAGTACAGAGCGCATATCATCCGATTCGAACATGACATCGACGACAATCTTGACATAAGCCTAATGCTCAAGTGCACACAGCTCGACACAATCGCCATGTCATTCCACTGGATCCAGCTCGTCGATAGAGCGTACACACAATACCAGAGACCTCGCGATCTAGAAGATTTTCTGGATGCCTTCCAATTCAGACCGATGCTTGAACATGGCGGGGTTAAAAGGGTGTATCTTGAAGGTGTGAATCATCTTCAGGGAGGGGAGGCGCGGTTGGCTTGTTTGTATCAGTTTGGCGAGTGGCTTGTGAAGGGGTATAGGAAGCGGGGGAGGGAGGTGGATGTGCATATCAGTGAGCGACGCCAGCGGTTTGATGGGAGGACCGTGGGGCCGAAGCTTGTTGTGGAGGAAAGTGAGGAGGAAGAGGAGGCGCCTAAGGTTAACCGGAAGTCTTGGAAGCGCAGAAGTGGGAGAGTAGGTTGAGCCTCTCTTGCTTGGACTGCTGGTTGACCAGTTGCGCGGCACCACGCTCGTGCACTGCAATCTCTAGCGTGTATGAGGGATAGGTAAGGCTGAACGTCGCAGCAGTTGCGACCAACGGTCTGGAGACATAATGGGCAATAGGCAGAGAAAGATGAACACTGCGGATCACTCTCCACTGTCCAAGTGATGTTTGTTCCATAGTATTGTGTTATTGGAGTAGCTCAAGCGTTGAAGGTAGCCTTTTGAACCGGCGTAAAGGACTTGCGATGGGCAGTGGGCGGCCAACACCGGAGTTATATCGCGACGAGACATGGTCCAACGATAGCTCATCGACCCAAACACAAAAGGCTGCTCGTCGCCATCGTGCTCATTATCCGCAAGTCGAAGCGACCTGATCCAGTGATGTTCTCGTCTTCTGTTCGTGTTTTCGTCGTGCGCAACGCTTGGAAGTCGCGACCCGCCGGCTATCCACCGCCCCTGACCCAACCTGATTCGACCGCCATTTTCGCCTTGGTACAGTCTCCGCAAGACCAACACAACAACCATTCACATGCGTCACAGTGGTAAACTCTGACCGCACGCACACCGCACGCCGAACGCTATGATCCCATACCGAACACCCACCCTCAGAAATTTCACTTCCCAGCCCCCACTCCCAGCCCTCGCGGCCAACACCGGCCACACACAGTGGATCTTGTGAAAAATCCTCCTCCCAACACCGCCTTCCCATCACGTGCCCTCCTGGCCCGCGCTTCCCTCCCTCTGCCTATATAAACCGCCCTCCCTCCGTCCCTCCTTCTGCTCATCATGTCGATCATACTTCATAGAATCATTTCTAATAGTATGCATCCTCTTCTGAGTTACTCTAAGTAGCCACAGAATCTCCACCCTGGTTGATGACTATCAGCCTCGATGTCCCGGAGTGAGGCTATTTTTTACGTGGTGCTTCGGCGCTCGTGGCGATGATCTTCAGCTGACTGGTTTGCGACTTCGTGTTGCGCTGGGAGGCAGGACGTTGATGGCAATCTGACAGGTTACCTTTTTTTTTCATTGACAAGATGGGCTTGCTCGTCGGTTGAGGAAGAAATTCTTGATGGTGGTGGAGGTTGGGATCGTGGTGTTCGGGTGGATGAAGCTGTGTGTCGCATCGCGTCGCGCTTTCCCGAGCCCATCGACGACGTTGATAGGGAAGGCACAAGAGGTCAGAGCGATGCGTGTCACACTTTATACTATCATGACGAACCGTCTATTAAGCGCTTCTGTGTCTACTATAATTTAAGGATTTGCTGCATGGCTTGTCAGTGTTTACGCGCAGCGAGGTGGACGCGTGTAGAAACGGCTTCGCATGCGACACGGCCGCTGCTGCATGCGTCCCCAAAGCCGACGCCAAGTTGCCAGCGACGGGATGCACCAGTCGTCGAGCGCGAAACCCAGGACAACTGATCACCTATGCGACTCCAAAGCGCAATACTTTTTCAATAGTTAATGTGCATGACGGGTCCTCCAAAGCCGTACTGACGTTTTCGTGTCGCATCGTCCACCGCCACGAAGTCCGAATCCGTATTCAAGCCTCTGCACACCACCAACTTCAGTCCTTTAGCCCTTCCGCATATCATATCACGCTAGAATTAGCCAGCATAACGTGACAAGCTGTTTCGGGGGGTCAACTAATTGGAGAATTGAGGGCATGGGTGGGACATCGAGACTGTGCGTGTGGGCGGGTTTTCTCGAATTGGAGGATATGCGAATATTGGAAATAAATTCTCCAGGACTACCAGTGTCGATTATTGCGTCAAATTTGATAGAAAATCATGAAGGGGGGTTTGGGAACGTCTTGACGAGTTCGTGATATCGTGGTAAACGTTAAGATTACAGAGAGGAGTAAATATCACTTTTGGTTGTTGTTTACTACAAATGATCACCCTTAACACCTATCCTGATCGCACTTTTCCTTCGTAACAACAACGCCAGACGCCAGCCTGAAATCCTGCACATGTCTCAATGTGCATGAAATCCTTTCTCTCCTGGAACTATATCCCAGGCTCAGACCGCTGTTGGTTTCGCTTTTCCCATTCTCTTCCTCCGCGCAGCTCGGGCTTTGGCCGCGTTCTCCTGCCTCTTGCGTTTGGTCACTCGTTTTGCCTGCCAATGCGCGCCTTGACCATGCCGAGCAGGTGGATCGAGTGCGATCGTCTCGCTATCCGGAGAAGGAGTGCTGCTGCGAGAGAACGCATTGGTTGTTGTGATTGATAAATGTGCAGAGTGATTCTCCGGTGTTAAAGAGGACATGCGTTCAACGGATGGCCTAACATCATCTCCAACGCCATTGTCAGCGCCACCGCCAATGTATTTGCTGTCCTTATTGCCTCCGTGTACGTTATGGTCTGGAAAGGAAGCTTCGAACTCGTCGCTCGATAGCAAGCCAACATATCCTGGAGGTGACGAACTCTTTTCCCTCTCCATGGCGTTGCGGATCAGTACTTCCTGGCGGAGACTTGACCGTGCTTTCTTCGTTGTAAGAGAGGGCCGAGGGTATGTAGGCCCTTTGGATAATTTGGAAGCTCTATTCGCTGGAGCATTAGTGTCGTCTGGGATATCGGATGCAGTCTTGTGTGTCGAGAGAACGTATTTTCGAGCTCGTTTCAACGTGTGCTGTTCTGCCATCAGACTGGCGATCGTGATGTCGAGATCGTCAATCTTTGCGTCCAGGCCCGATAGGACGGCGTTACGTTCGGTATGGTGAGTTTCTTCATGCTTCTGTTGCTGACCCATCTTACACGGTCTGGGATAAGAGAGGATATAGAACGCGGATTGTGTTGCCAGCCCGGTAAGTTGATGTGAAAAACTGATGCAGCTGATCAGGTATGTGATGAGTAGTCAAGCCTAATGTAGCCGGGAATCGTTTTGATTGTGTTTGAAAGCAGGAACGGCAGTAAATGAATAGACAGATGCTGCGAGCTATGCATACCGGTGTTGATGGGTGTGCTCGTAGGGAGCTTGGAAATGAAGTGAGAGGAGATGAAATGTTCAGTGAGAGGATACTGTACGATCCTGAAGAGCAAGCAGCAATAATAGTGGTCGCGGATCGCTTGCGGAATGCTCAATGCCCGCAATGGGTATACTAATGACAAGTCACATGCGATGAAAGGGCTCCATGTTCAGATGTGTTACTACGGCGCAAGCAACGGAAACTAAAGTGGCTTCAGCGACTCGTTCAACTGGCCGATGAAGTGAACCTGCGTCTTCATTCGACCTTCACGTGCGTGAGGAAGTCCTCCAGGGCTCTCTCGAGAACATCTTGCTTGAACATGGCTTTGGGTGTACAGTGCGATCGAGGCGGCGATTGTTGGATCATCAGGAACAGCGCTAGGGCCATGAAGCAGCCATGACCTAATTCAATTCGGGATGCGTGTCTCACACGGGACGAGAGGAGTGAGCGGGGAGTGGGGAGGACCGCTGGGTATCAGTGAACCGGGGTCAGAGATATACTAGCCCGGGTTTGGCTAGTCAGGGACCAGAAACGTCTCTCGCGCAGCGCGACACGTCAATTTTCTGGAGTTATCGACAAAGTTCGCGACAGCAAAAGGCTATCACGACGCCAATGCTCGAATCCAGCCCTGGGTATGCCATCTTCAGCGATCTGAGGAGAAGGATGGGTACTTCCTCTTCTCAGCCCGTTCTTTCCCCAAAACGCGAGGCCGCGACGGTAGCTTCCCCCGCCACGGCGCGCAGGTCCCACTTTAGTGAGTAGACGGCCTCGACGCGTTTTAATGGGCACTTTTTCGCTCCATCAACCTCCACCTTCCCGCCCAGAGCCACGACTAACGCATTGGAGTGGCAGACCCAGACATGGATGACGTCGCCGCGTCAGAGCAGCTCATGAGCGAAAAGGGCACGCGCATCGGCGCCGCCGGCTCCATTGGCACCCTCTCCCAGGTCGACGGCAGCCAGGACGCCTCTCCTCTCATTCAGAAGAAGCGCAAGCGAAACAGCGCACTCGGTCTGACGAAGAAGAGTGTCGCGACTTCTCCAACTAAAGGCATGCTAGCCCAGGACGACGTTCCAGCCTCATCTCCTTTTCCCTTTCCCGCGACGCAACCGGAGCCCGAATCGCCTGCTGCCAATGGTTTCACTCACGCCACCGCAGTTGAGGTACCAGACTCTCAGATTCCTGGACGACCCGCGCAATCAACTGCTTCGTCGCCCATGTCTAGCCACGTCATTCCGTCCAGCGCAACCAAAGGCAAACGCACATACAAGCAGAGCAAGCAGTCGAAGCGGGATCGGGCTATCAGCGACGCTATGCAGGAAGCAGATATAGACCAGGACGGAGACACAACCATGATCGCAGACGAGGCAGCCTCACCCTCGCATACGGCATCGAAAAACAAGCGCTCTCAAGAAACGGAAGTCGCGCCGGGAACGAACGGCTTACATTCACGCAAAGCCGCCAGGGGAGGCGCTGACGGAACACCTTCATCGGCGAAACGGAGGAAGATTGGTACGCCAAAGTCGCTGACTACACTACGAGACCTCATTGGAGGCGGGGAAGATGAGGATGCCGAGCAATTACGGACCGTCCAGAAGTCGAAACTAAAACGAATCAAGAAGCCGCAAACCCCCGTTGCGAAATCAAGAAACCTCTACGAGATACCCGACGACGATCCGCGTCCCACGAACGGAGAGGCAAGCACCACGCAGACAGCTACGCCCAAGCCGCGTCTCAGTTTGAAGAAAACAAAGAAGAACAAGGACAGTATCGACAACCGGCCCACTCCGGTTCGCACGCCTGCCCAGCCGTCGGGCGAAGGAGAAGACGAGGACAGCATCATACGAGAGCCCATCTCCAGTGATGAGGCAGACGTTGCTCCACCGTCCGGTGGTGATCACAGAGATTTCAAAGAGAAGAAGAAGACAAAGAAGAGACGATCATCTGCAAAGAAAGCCACATCGCGGCGGGAAAGCGGCAGATACAGCTTCACCTGGAAAGATCCCCCATCTGGTACCGCGGCAGAAAGAGCATTGAACGTTGAGCATGACCTACAACACCCCCCAGATCTACGAAGCTCCGGCGACTTCACCGCAGACGAGGAAGAGCTCATCCGTCGAGCTATCGTAGACTATCAGCAGAGGAAAGGCCTGGATGTGTCTGAACTGGTGGACATCATACAATGGAATCCAACTGACCCTAGCTTCAACACCGGCGATGGAACTATATCATCCAAGAGCGAGTGGGCACCACAGGACATCGAGGACGCGCGTGAAAGCGCAGAATTCTGGGACGACATCAAGCACCTTCGCACAGAACGCTCGCAAGACAGGTTGAGAAGACACATCCGTCAGACATACCATCAGTTCAAGAGGGGAGTATGGACAGAGGAGGAAGACAAACGTCTAAAACAACTCTACGGGATGCACCCCAACAAGTGGAAGGTCATCTCAGTAGGTATGGGGGATCGCTCCATGCACGACTGTCAAAACCGGTGGCGCGATTACCTGCAATATGGTGACAAGCTCAAGTCTTCGCGCTGGGACGAAGAAGAGGAGGAGCTTTTCATCCGCGCCGTCACAGCGGTCGCTCAACGAGACGAAGACCACCGCGCCGAAGAAGGATTACCACCCATTGACAAATACACGATGAAAGACATCAACTGGCAGCAGGTCAGCCACGAGATGGACCACACCCGAAGCCGGATTCAGGTCGTACAGAAGTGGAGGAATTTGCAGAAGCGCGAATCTCCGCCAGAGATTGAGGTCGAACGCAAGCCGAGGAAGGAGAAGCCTGCTGCTTCCAAATCTGCGATTCCCGAGCCTACTCCCAAGAAGCGCGGACGGCCAAAGGGAGAGGCCGGCGCAACACCCAAACCCAATCCTCACTCTGCCAGGTCACAGGAAGTCATCCACAACTCGGATGATGAAGAGGCCCGGACTTTGTCGCCGCCGAAGAAGGCTAAACGGCCAAGTAAGAGCGAGGGCTCGGAGGTGAAGAAGCCGAAGAAGTTCCGCACTGCCGAGATCGACGAGATTGTTGATGGCTCCGACGAAGAAGGACAAGCCAGCAAGGAAGCGGACAGTCCACCGAAGAAAAAGAAACGGAGAAAGTCACAGAAGAGCGAGGCCGCAGAAGCCGACGACGACGAGGAGTCTCGGCCGACCAAGACACGGGATGTCATTGAGAATTCAGATGAGGAGAATGCTCAGGCTGATCAGCAATCGAAGGTTTCGCCGCCGCCGAAGAAGCGTGGACCACCTCGAAAGAGCGATACTCTGGAATCGAACGAACCGGAGAAGCGTACCGAGCTCGAAGTTTCCGAGGAGTCAGTAGCGGATCTGGAGCTTGCAAATGACGATCAATCTGAGCATGCAGAGGGTGACGACAAGGCCGTGGAGGAAACCCAGCCAGTCGTACAGGAAACCCAAGTAGATCCGGCTCTGATCGATCCGGCCCTGATAGATCCAGCTCTGGACTTGAACCGTGCCCAATCACTGACAACTGGTGACGACGCCGAGCAGGAGATTGAGGAACCATCCGATGAAGAGGAACCATTCAGCACCGCACCGATCATTTCCCCAGAGCAACCGCAAACAGACGGCAACGACGAAGTACAAGAGCAGAATGAGAACTCAATTGAGGACGACGACCCGATCGAAGACGACGAAGATCAACACAGCGTTGCGTCGAGCAGCTCATCACAAGAGTCGGACGACGACCAGTCTGAGCAAGACAGTAAAGTCTCAGCACCAACAGAGAACGATGAGCTTCCCGGTGAGGAGGTCCAGACTGGTGTCACGTCGGCTGATCCAGATGGCGAGAAGCTCACTGTAAATGCCGGTGACAAGATGCAGTGGGGCGACAAGTACGATCTGATTGCCAGCTTGCAAAATCATCGTGATGATCGCGAAGAAGACGGAGACTTCAATTGGGACAAGATCGCAGAGGAAGTGGCAGCTGAGCGCAAGTACATGTGGACTCCGCAAGTACTGCAGACTGCGCTGGACCAGCTGATTCAGCTTCTCCGCGACAACTGCAAAGAAGTGGATGAGGATGATTTGGACGGCACGGTGGATGATATTATGGATTTCATCTCCAGTGAGCATGGAGAGCAGCTTGACGAGTACTACGACCTTTCATAGGAAATGAATTGATACCGTCGCTGGGTTCTGTGTCGCAATCAGGCGCTTCAAGCGGCAGTCGTGCATTGGACGTACTTTAGTAACACAATCGAATCATGTACATAGTATATAAAAACATATACACCATCGCGTAGTGCAGTATAGCATGATATCCAGCGTTCCTCCCACACCCCGTATCTCCCTCCATCGTGACCTCTCTAAACGAAGCCAACAGCCGCACTAAGCCCCTTCGCCACATCGCGCTCGGGTGCCAACCGAGATCTCGCTCTGCCCCCATTGTTATCGTAGCGCATCGCGCATAGCGTATTCTAGCCTCGTTGTCCATGGATATGCCTAGCGAGCATCGAACAACGAAGGCGAAGTAAACGTTGTGTCGATACATCCGGCGTTTACGGAAGGATTGGGCTCCGTGCTGAAGACGCACAGCCACGCTCAACGCCTCAACACACACTGGGAGGCACGGTAAACAACACAATACATTCCACCGCTGTGGCAGGTAGCACAGGATACAGCGAGAACCTAAAATAGGATTACACACAAAAGTTTTAAGGGTCACGAAACGTGGATCCACAGCCGCATGCAGGTGTAGAAAGGACGAGGCTGTGGATGGTGGACGGTGTGTAGACACAAAGGCTAACGCACGCTGCACGAGCTATTGAAATCTCCGGGACCCATACGGCGTATGGTAAAGAGACTAGACATGTTAGAGAGCTTAGAGCGTCCGAGTACGATGGAATGTGTGGGAGGGTGCTGGGATGGACGCGGTCTGCGGGTGTAAGTGGGTGGGTGGTGTGATCTATTGGGTTGGGTTGGCGGTGGGCGCGGGGCAAACTTCGTCCGGAGGGAATGGTAAGACGCGATGGACTTCAAGTCAACACAGATGTTCAAGGGAAAGGAAAATACATCGTGGAGTGCATACACAAATCCCTCGAACACATCACAACACAAGCCTACATGGTGACACCTCCAGCCTCGTGCAGGCTGACAAACGCAGAAGGGCAGTTCCCTGCTTGAGTACCCACCTGTCTTGGCTTATGTCAGGTGGTCCCTGCCACGACCAAAGGCGGCCGGGGCTTGCAACGTTGCGAGGCCAATGGCGCGATTTCTGATCATTCCCCTAACCGGCACCCTCCATGACGTTGGCTTGTCTATCCGCGGCCAGTCAACGGCTTTGGCGCGAAGGCGAGGCGACGAAACGGACAGGATGGCCTCGCTTTCAGCGCTCCGAGGTAGTGTCGGATGGCTGCTGGCGGAGGCGGATGGAGGATTAGGGTTGTACTGCTGCACTCCACATTTGGGTGCCCGTATTTCCCCCCTTCTATCTTACTGTACCCAGTGTAATCCTTCACTCACTCGCCGTTGTGTCTGTTATTGTCGTTGTTCTAGCCGTTGCGTTACTCTCGGTTGCGCGTCCCTCGTTTTGCATCTGCATCCGCATCGCCCGTTCGCTTCTGCAGTGACATCCATTCGCTCCACCTAGCTGATTGTCATTCCGGCTGTTTGTGCCACGCTCAAATCAGCGTCCTCCGCACCCTACGCCTCCTCCCAGGGCCCTTGCCACCCGCTCACCCTCGAACGTGCATCCTGCGTACCGGCACATATAGTATCCGGCTGTTAACCCGTCTCTCCCTCGTCGCTCGTCGAATAGAACCGGGTCAAGGGTGCCGACCTTGTTCCTGAACTGCGACGTCATTCTGACCATTTACCCGCTGGCATCCTTTCACCTGACGAGACCCGAGGAACCCTTTGCGACCACGACTCGTTTACGTTTGACGGCCCTTTTTTTACCCCACGACGTGCACGCGACCACCTGGTTGCACGTGTTTGGTACCGATAATAAGCAATGGAGCAAGTCCGACCACAACCTGCGACAAGGCCCGAGGGTCGCCGCATGTCGATATTCACGGAGGTGGGACTGGTGGATGAGAATAAGATGATGGAGGAGAGGAGCCCGGTGCCGACTCATGGAGAGAGTTTGAAGAGGTTAAGACCCGCGAAGATGCTGAGGTTTAGGAGCCGGAACGACATCTTCAGCGCGGAGGGAGAGAGGTTGGCGGACGACGAAGACGATTGGGAGTCGGTTTGCGACGAGGACGAGGCGAACGAGAGCGTGTCGCGCATGACCACCACATCGCAATCGTTTCTACCAACGAAACTCTACCGGTTCGGCCTTCTCAGTGTCTTACTGGCATTGATGCTACCGATCATCCAACTCAATCCCCTCAAACACGTCGGCGTACGGGGTGGCGCGATCCCGGCGAACTTGATCCAGGCCAATGCCGAACGCTCGATGCTCGTCACACGAGAAGACAGTCCGACCGATGCATGTAGACGGTGGAGCGGACAGAGCGCCATCGTCAACGGAACACTGTACATGTACGGATTCCGCAGGACTACCGACGGCCAACAAAAAGAGGATACATGGAGTACGTTATAAGAGTCAGCTCAATCCTGCGCATTCAATGCTAACATGACACAGACAACGACTTCCTCACTCTCGATCTCACCGAATCCTGGCAAGTCGCCTCTCCCGCTCTGACCGGTCTCCCCAAGCCCACGGGCCCACCAGCTGTTTCGCTCGGCCAGCTCTGGGCATCGCACGATTCGCTTTGGCTCTACGGTGGCCAGTTCTCCGACAGCCCACAGGCCGACCCTTCAAACAACTCAGTCTGGGAATACAACATTGGTGGCAAGCAATGGATTGAACACGCCGACCCAAAGACCTCGGCTGGTGGAGAAGAGGCGGAGGACGCTGGTCAGTCTGTACAACGCGTCGCTGAAGGTGCGGGTCTTACCGTTCCTACGCTGGGCAGGGGCTTCTACTTCGCTGGCCATTTGGACTTCCTTACGACGGAAGGCTGGAGCATTCAGACCCCGCGACTGTATCTGAAGAGCTTGCTGGAGTTCACGTTCCCGGGTCAGAGCAACAATGCTGTAGAGTCTCTCGGAGATGGCAAGACCGCTGGTTCGGACGGTGTCTGGCGCAACATCACCTATGGCGGATTACAGAACACCGCGTCTTTCCCTGAACGCGCTGATAGTTCGCTCGTCTACGTCCCTGGATTTGGAAAAGAAGGTCTCTTGATTGGATTGACTGGTGGTGACAATGCTACTTTCGTGAGTTGGACTGCATGAGGATGTGATGGCGGATGCTAACAGAATCTAGACCCAGATGAACACTATCGACGTTTACGACATTGAGACATCGACATGGTACAAGCAGAGTACTTCCGGCAAGACGCCGAAGTACCGAGTCAACCCATGTACAGTTGTAGGAGCTGCTGCAGAGTGAGTACACCCTACTTTCATTGCCACTCGCAATCCTTGCTAATAATGTCTAGCGGCTCATCTTACAACATTTACATGTTCGCCGGTCAAGATCTCGGAGACCCTAACACCCTTGGCACCCAAACGCAGCGCGACGACATGTGGATCCTTTCCGTCCCCTCCTTCTCCTGGATCGAAGTCGAACAAGGCACCGACAAAGCCAGCATACCTCCCCCACGCGCCGGCCATCTATGCCAGGTCTGGGACCACCAGATGATCGTCCTAGGTGGCTACAACACCGACCTCGGCTGCGACGCGCCCGGCATCTACGTCTTCAACATGAGCAGCCTAGGCTGGAGCGACCAATTCACCGCCGTAACCGGCAAAAACGCGCTCCAAGGCTACAACTCCAAAGACAAAGGCAGCACCGGCAACCCCCTCGCCCAACAAATCAACCAACGCGGTTTCGGCGTCGAAGCCGGCATCGAAGGCTCGTACGGCTACGCCGTCCCCGAAGCCGTCCAAAGCGTAATCGGCGGCGCAGCAACCGGCGGCGCCACCCTCACCGCCCCCGTCCAAACACCCACCCAAGGCCCCCTCGCAACCGGTAAACCCCAGACCTACACCATGACGGGCCCCGACGGCGCCACCATCACCAACGTCATAAACGGAAACCCACAGGGTGCCTCATCCGGCGACAGCGGCCCCAACATCGCCGCCATCGTCGCCGGCGTAATCGCAGGCGTCTTCTTCATCATCGCCGCCTACTTCGCCTTCTGTGCCTGGATCTACCGCCGCCAAGTCCAGATCTGGAAGTCGCACGCTGCTGCCGTACAAACACGTGCGAATGCGGAGAAACAGGGTACTTTTACTAGTAGCTCGGGCAAGAATAGTAGTGAGCGGCCGCCTGGTACGCTGGGTGGGAGTAGCCATGGGGGTGTTGCGGCTGGTAGCTTTGATATTACTAGGAGGGGGAGTGTGGATCCTATGCCTACGACGGCGTATGGCGGGCCTGGGGAGGGGGATCGATGGGGCAGGAGGAATAGTGAGGGGAGTGTTGTGGATGGGTTGTTGGATGGGCAGGAGCCGAGCTTTTGGGGGGCGAGGGGTGTGCTTTTGAATCCGAGGAGGAGTTTGAGGGTTATTAATAGGGATTGAGACTGCATCTCGATTTCAGAGCACAGCGGTCGCACATGATCTTCTTTTTACGATTCCCCTGATTCAAGTATTTGAGTAAACATTTGGTTATATAATGATGGGATAGGGCAGAGATACATGGCTGATTGGGATAGTAATAATGACATAGGATAATGATCTACTTCTCATAAATCATCTCTTCTTCGCCCCTCTCTTCTTCAGCCCTCCCTCCAGCTAACCGGAGTAAAGTAACCAACGAAAAGGAAAGAACCCACACACCCACACACGTCGAGGATCCCACCGCTCCCCCAACCGCCCCCGTTAAGGAAGTCCCCCCTCGAATTCAGACTCCCGTACTCGCCCGGTTGCAAGACCATCTACGCCATTCGATAACTAGTAAGTTTCCCGACTACGTTATAACTAATGGCACGTGATGGCCTTGTGCTACGAAGCGCCTCTCGAGAGTCCGTCCGAGGGACTGGTCTGTTGCAGATCCTAGTTTGGTTTGAGAATGGAGAGGAGAAGAGACTCTGGCAAAAGACCAGAGAGACACAGATAGGGGTGTGTGTCGGTGTTGTGTCAATCCCGTAAGAAGA